TGGGAGCTGCATTAGAAAAGCAAGACTCAGCCCACAAATTAATGTGATTTCATTTCCTTCTGGGTTTCAGAAATGAAAAGGGCCGTACCATTCTCCTCAGAGCACTCACTCCGGCTCTTCAGAAATATCCCTTATTTCACGTTTCATTTTCCCTTAAGTGCTGCCCCGGGTAGACGTAATTGCCATTTAAAGAGGAGAGAGGGTGCATTTCTTGTCTCTCGGATGCTCGGGACCAAGAACAGTCAAGGAATAGATGGTATTTATGGGCCCCGGTATCAGTCGCCGCCGCCTGGGGTTCTGCCATCACGGCCGAGGGAGGGGACCTCCCGGTGGAGGCCGGGTCGCTCCCTCACACCCCTCCTGCACCCCAATTCCTCTAGCTCTCNAGAGAAGCATCAATTTGTCGCTCCCCTTATTGATGAATCGTTGGTTATTCTTACATGTGCCCGGACCGGGGGTCGAACCCGCAACCTTGGCGTCTGGGGACAGCCCTCCAACCAACAGAGCTGCCCCCTCGGGGCCGTCCCCACTTTTTTTCCAAAAAATTATTTTAAAGTGACAGCTGACGTAAAACGTTCGGTTAGCTTCAGGTGTGCGACGTGGTGATTTGACGTGTGTCCCTGACGCGGGGGTCACTCCAGCCCGGCACCCCCACGCTGGCGCTCACGACAGCATTGACTATGCTCCCCTTTTAAAGTGGGTCACCTGCCCGCCCCCCGCCCCCCTTCTCCCCGCAACCCGGGTGCACACTGACGGCCCGTCGGTCAGCCAGACGCTCGCCTCGCTGGACGTCACGGAGCAAGCGGAGCCTCTCCTTTTCGTGAAATCAGCTCCACAAAGCGGTTTTTTCCCCCGAGGGTATTTTTTCCCACTGATTTTTAGAGAGAGAGAGAAACATCGATGTGAGAGAGACGCATCGATTGGCTGCCTCCCGCACCCTCCCCGCCCGGGNCCCTCCCCGCCCGGGGCGGGAATCGAACCCGCCGCCCTCCGGTGCCTGGGCTGGCGTGGCTCCGTGGTTAGAGCATCAGCCTGAGCAGCGAAGGGTCCCGGGTTCGATTCCCGGTCAAGGGCACGTGCCTGGGTAGCAGGTTCCATCCCCGGCCCGGGAGGGAGGCAACCAGCCGATGTGTCTGTCTCCCATCGATGTCTCTCCCTCCCTCTCTCTGAAATAAAAAAGATAAAAGATTTAGGGCTCAGGCACCACCTTACGTAATACAAACTCCAGATTCCTTGGAGGAGAAACTGGCAAAATGACCGTCCCGATGTCCCCGTGTGCTGGGCAGTCGGTCGCCCTGCGTCGGCTTCCGGCTGAGGCTCAGGTCGCCCTGTACTTGGTTTTTCTCACACGTTGAGGAACCAGAGGAGCTCTTAGGGCCCTTGGTGCTGAGACGGGGCGGACAGANGCCGATGTGTCTGTCTCCCATCGATGTCTCTCCCTCCCTCTCTCTGAAATAAAAAAGATAAAAGATTTAGGGCTCAGGCACCACCTTACGTAATACGAACTCCAGATTCCTTGGAGGAGAAACTGGCAAAATGACCGTCCCAATGTCCCCGTGTGCTGGGCAGTCGGTCGCCCTGCGTCGGCTTCCGGCTGAGGCTCAGGTCGCCCTGTACTTGGTTTTTCTCACACGTTGAGGAACCAGAGGAGCTCTTAGGGCCCTTGGTGCTGAGACGGGGCGGACAGAGGCCGGCCGGTGGCCACGCAGCAGGGCCAGGCTGCGCCCGCTCCCGGGGCCGCCCCGGAGGCCGCGGCCAGCCAGGCTCTTTCACGCGCAGTTTCCTCTCCGTGAACTGATTGACACCTTCGGGGGCCGTCCCCCCGCCGACGTGCGATTTTTCTCGCTCTGGAAGGAGGTTTCCTTGCACCCCGCTATGCCCCAGTTAAAGCCAAAAATTCAGCTCATCATATTTACACGATTAAAAAAAAAAAAANGATTAAAAAAAAAAAAAAAATCCGTCTTGCCTTGTTTTTAATTGCAAATTCCACTCGAGGGACCAGTTCTGCTGCCCGGGAGGCGGCCCTGTGCCTTCTGGAGAGGAGAGTGCAGTCAATTATGGTAATGAAATGTCAATAAATATAAAAATTTCATACAGCCAGCTCGGGCGATGGGCACGGGGCGCTCGCCTCCCAGGCAGACTTGCTGCTGCTGCAATTTTAAACGCCCCCGAAAGCACGCGCGTGCCCGAGAGCTCACGGGTGAAAAAGGGCCGGACGCCTGGGCCCCCCGTCGGGCTGCACGGGGTCTCTGGCAGCCACCCCGACGTCTTACTATTATAAACGGAAGTTTCCGCGTCCCCGTGAATAACCGAAATCGGTGCGTCGCCTTTTCTGAAAAAGGAAATCGGCCTTTTTTTGTTTTGCTTTCTCAATCGAGAAGCTGCTTTTTTATAAATAAGATCGTGGCTGGCGTTGGAGAGAAATGTAATTAATAACCACGTGGAGGCANAGAAGCTGCTTTTTTATAAATAAGGTCGTGGCTGGCGTTGGAGAGAAACGTAATTAATAACCACGTGGAGGCCGCAGCCGTGGCTGTCGAGTGGGCAGCGAGCCAGCGTGGGACCTAAACGGGGTTCCCTCCTCGCGGGCACGCCCGCGATCCGCACCAATGGGGGCCTTAAAATGCCGTCTCTTCAGAAAATAAAAATAGAAAAACACTTCACGTTCCTCGTGCCCGACTCAGCACCACGCAGAATGCTGGGCTGGCTCACTCCTAACGGACGGTCTATTTTTCTTTGATGGTTGAGAGTTAAAAACCTCATCGTATGTGACAGTGACATTTTACAATAGAAAAAAGGTGTATATATATATATATATATATATGAGCATGCATCTAAGTATCTGTAAAATTTAGTCAAAACCTGTCCCCTACAAAGCTATCAAAATAATTAGATTTATCAGAATAATTATGGTCTTTGTTTTACAGAGAGAGGGAGGGAGAGAGAAGCGTCAATGAGAGAGAAGCTGCCTCCTGTGCGCCCCCTGCTGGGCGTCGAGCCCACAACCTGGGCAGGTGCCCGACCGGGAATCGAACCAGTGACCTCCTGGTTCATGGGATGATGCGCGACCACTGAGCCACCCAGGCCAGGCTGTGGTCCATTTTATAATCACAGAACGTGTCTCCGGCTGCTTCCCTGGGGACGGCCGCCTCGGTCATTAACCCGCGTGGCCGCCTGGTTTTGCCCACGCGTCCGTCGTCAAGGCCTCCAGTGGACTCCGGGCCCCCGGGTCCGGGCCTCACCCACCGACGCCGTGACTCTGTGTTGCAGGTGGACTACTCCGTGATCGCGTCGCAGGCCGGGGCCACGCTGAACAACCTCATGAGCCACGCCCAGGAGTTGGTGGCAAAGCTGCGCTCCCTCCAGTTTGACCAGCGGGAGTTCGTGTGTCTGAAGTTCTTGGTGCTCTTTAGTTTAGGTAAGGGGCCTTTCTCCCGCGTCGGGCCGGCCTGGGGCGCCTGCCGGGCCAAACACGTGTTTGTTCTGCTGAGACGGCGCCCTTCTCGTCAAACCGTCCGGCCTTCCCGCGTGGATTTGTATGTCTGTCTGCGCGGCTCCGAGCTGTGTCGGGGGCAGGGCGGGATGTGGGAGACGAGCTGTTGGTCCGAGTCCCGAATTTTCTTCCTTAACAGGCACCATGAGGAGGCAGCAGTAACGTGATATTTAGTGGACGTAGCTTAGGACAGACGGTGGGATCAGATTTTGGCCGTCTCGCCGCTCGCTGTCGATTGTCTCTGTGTCTTTTCCTTTCGGCCCGAGACCCGGGCTGAGTTTATTCTTGTAAAATGTACATAATAATTAGGAACCTGTTTCTGGATTCACCAGAAGGTGTGCGTCACCGGAGGCACCACTGCGCCCGAGTGAAAGATGACGATTTTCGGGGGGGTGGTGCTTCTTTGGGGGGGGGCTTTGGAGAAGACAGATAACTCACAAGACAGATTAGCTAAATCAAGGTTCCCAGCGAGTCGGCCGAGAAAAATCAGCACGGTTCGCAATAAAAAGGGGATTAAGGAGATGGATTTTTATTGACTTCAAAGGAACAGATTTTTCTGCCTGTCCCATCCTTGATTTCTGTGTTTCGTTGGCTTAATAAAGCCAACTTAAATAAACTTTTTGCCAAGTCCATTTATTACGTATTGGCAGGCGGCTGAGGGAGGCAACTTCCCTTGAATGAAAAAAAAAAAAAAATACGCACACACACACACGAAAACGCAGAAATCAGATTTACCAACATATGTTTTATCTTTAGTCTTCAGTTACAAGATAGCTGCGAATTCATATCCCAAGAAATAAAGTAAAACAAACGGCAAAGTAAACCAGATGTGCCTGCCCTCCAAATTGGGAACGCTGGTCTGAAAATTCTCCTTGACATCACCGCACAACTGTTGCTAATAAAAGCAGAGTCTGAAGTAATAGAAGCAGAGTTAATTCTTCACGTGTAGTCAACATTTCGAGTGAAAAGAACATTTTCCCCGTTTGGAAAATGTGATAAATATAGCGGCGAGAAATGTTACCCCAAATGTAAAGAGAGAGCAGCATTTCATAGCCGTGGCATTCAAAGGTCGACCGCGCCAGGACGGAATCCTGGGCGGTTTCCGGGCCGACCGCCACGTCAAAGCTCCGTCCCTCACCCCAGACGGGTCTTTGGAAAATGAAGGGACGGCAGCCTGGGCCCCGCTCGCTGCAGTCGTGCAGATTCGTCTGGGCTATGGCAAGAGCCTCGTCTTCTCAGCGCGTGCGTTTGATCCGTAATTAAATGCAAAATGTGGTGATATACGGGAAAGAGATCTTATAGCATCTTGGTGATAGAATCGAGTTATCTCACTCCAGTGGTTTTTGTTTTTTTTTTTTAATTATGTTTTTATTGATTTCAGAGAGAGGGAGGGAGAGAGAGAAACATCAATGATGAGAGTCATGGATCGGCCGCCTCCTGCTCGCCCCCTGCTGGGGATCGAGGAACCTGCACCCTGGGCCTGGGCCTGACCGGGAATCGAACCGAGACCTCCTGGATCCCAGGTCAATGCTCAACCGCTGAGCCTCGCCGGCCGGGCCCCAGGGGTATCTTGAATTAATTGAATCACCGCATGTCACTTGAAGACGTTGAGATGGACCAGGAGCTATGTTTAGTTTTCACCACATTTATCTTCCTTCATCGTGTTTCTAAATTATTCTCTTCATGGGGG